CAATATCTCTGGTCAATGAGGTTGGGAGTTATGGGGCCCATCTGGGAAATGCGCAAATGCACAAACGATTCAAGAGTAAGAATGTGGAGTGCAGCAATGGAGAGAAGGCTAAAAATTTGGGGGAGGCAGAGATGATGGCGGCAACAAGGAGATGGATCTCCATTATGGAGGTCAATGTCAACAAGACCCCAATTGAATGAAGTTGCTCGTCATGAGACCCATCTGGAAAGCTTGAGAAGATCTTGAAGAAGCCCGTTGGAAAGTAGTTTGGCACAGGGAGAAGTTCATCCCAGTCTGAGAATGCATCTTTTCGTAAGCTTTTGCTTGTTGTTGGCGATGCCAAACTCACCTAACATTTATAATTCGTCATGCAGCCCGTACCACGCTGCCCTAGCATGACTCCATAACACATCCAGGTGAAGGGCGAATATGCTCAATGCTCTGAAAAGTTACAGCTTCAACAACTTCTCGGTCTGTACCTCTCCAACTAAATCAAGAATTGACGATGAAGAGACAGATAGTGAAAGGGAATAAGCTGGGGTATAGCAACAGGCTGAGGAAGGTTGAAGGGGTTGGAGCGCAAGCCCTAACCCAAGCCACGAGAGATGAGCTCAGCCAATCCACTCACTCATCACGAATATGTACTTATACAATGTTCAACTCAGCGATCACCGGCACTGCTCAACCTCTTAAGTACTTCGCAGGTGAAAAACTGTGTGCCACGTCTGTTACTTTGGTTTCACCGAGTGACTACGAGTGTGTGGCTTGATCTGCTCAGTCTTTTTGCTCCCAGAGCCGGTTCATCTATGATGAAGGGGCCCGCAGCCAAACACAGTTGAAACTTCGGAAGACCAATGCTTTAGTGAGGATTTATGCCTTGGAACTCGCAGTGGAGACCTCTCTTACATGTTTTCTTCCTCAGACGCACCGTTCCTGGTAGTGTTCAAAGGTTCAGTCCATAGGACCACAAAAAACCGGTGGACCGAACTGAACCGGACCATGGTCCGGTCTTTTTTTCGGTTGCAGTTGCCCCAATTTGGGGTTGGTCCGGTTGCCAGTTGCCTCATTTCGAAAATCTTTTAAAACCGTTCAAAGACCGGTTTTAATCGGTTGCAACCGGTTAAACGGTCACGTGCGTTACATAGCCTTGTAACCACGTTTATTGCCTTTTATTGGGTTTTTGTTTCATCAAAAACGGTTAAGAATTGAGAAAGATATAACCAAATCCATATTTTACCCAAGTCTCTATGAGATGTAATTTGGTTTCAGCCACAGCTATGTCAAATCTTCAATAAATCTCTTGAAAATTGGTAGAATGATGGGTATTTATATGCTTTACTATTTTATATAACCCGTTTATTTTTCAGAGTAATAATGGTTGAGATACAAATGGTTTATATTGGTATAATAAATTATACGCAAAAAAACCGGTCTGGATCGGTCTGAACCGGTATCATGGACCGCAAAAGACCGGTCCTAGGTGGTTCGGTTCGGTTCCCTCAATATCTGGGTCGGTCCTGGACCGGTTGCGGTCCATGGTTGCGCGTTTTCGGGGCAAAAAACCGGACTGAACTGAACCTTTAAACACTAGTTCCTGGCCTCCAAGTCCCCCACCTTCAATTCAGATTCTGACTGGTGGCTACCACTTTTATCTATAACATAGACTTAAGCCTAGAGGGTCATTTCTATAACTTAGACTTAAGCCTGGAGGCCATATCTATAATGCTTAGGATTTTTTGAAAGGCATTTCAAATGTAGGCCTGAGTATTTCATAGTGATTTTTCCATAGATACCCAGTGCATTTCCTGCGAAATTTCAAATGTAGTCCTGGATATTTCATTGTGATTGTTCAATAGATACCCTGGGTATTTCATTGGAAAAATTTCAAATGTAGCCCTTGGTATTTCATTGTGCTTTTTCAATGGATACCTGGCGCATTTCATTGTGATTTTTCAAATGTAGCCCTTGGTATTTCATTGCGATTTTTCAATATATACCCTGGGTATTTCATTGTGATTTTTTAAATGTAGCCCAGGGTATTTTATTGTGATTTTTCAAATGTAGCCCTTCGTATTTCATTGTGATTTTTCAATAGATACCCTGGATATTTCATTGTGATTTTTCAAATGTAGCCCTGGGTATTTCATTGTGATTTTTCAATAGATACCTGGTGCATTTCATTGTGATTTTTCAATAGATACCCTGGTTATTTCATTGTGATTTTTCAATAGATACCCTGGTTATTTCATTGTGATTTTTCAAATGTAGCCCTGGGTATTTCATTGTGATTTTTCAATAGATACCCTGGATATTTCATTGCAAAATTTCAAATGTATCCCTGGGTATTTCATTGTGATTTTTCAAATGTAGCCCTGGATATTTCATTGTGATTTTTCAATACATACCCTGGGTATTTCATTGTGATTTTTCAAATGTAGCCCTGGGTATTTCATTATGATTTTTCAAATGTATCCCACATGTCAGGGTCCATGCAATGGGCTCCCTGGAGGGTGGTCACATGACCAATTACCTAAAATGGTCAAAAAACGAAAGTTGTAGCCCTGCAATGTATCTTCCAGAATCTGTTTGAATTATGTCACAGAGTGCTCCCATTGTGGAGATATGAGATTGAAGATTGTCCACACCACCAGCTTTTTTTTTTGTTTTTTACATTTTTCTCCATGAACAGGACACCAAACAATATGATTTCAACACATTTAAAAGGCTAAGAGAAGGGACTATAATTATTGTATTGTGGGAAAATTGACCCAAAAAGGAAGGTACATACCCTAAAAGGGAAATTGACACTGACAGACTGCAAAAGTCAGATATGGACTACAAAGTTTACTAATAGACTACAAAAAACTACAAAAAAACTAAAAAGAGCCGCACATAGTCTACAAAGTTTACTGATAGACTAAAAAGACTACAAAAGTCAGACATAGACTACAAAGTTTACTGATAGACTACAAAAGACTACAAAAGTCGGACATAGACTGCAAAAATTTACTGATACCCCTGACTACAGTTATGGGTATCTGTTTATTGTCTACTACAAAAGTTAGTAGTGTCCGCTTTTTTATTACAAAGGTTTGTAGTGGCTGCTTTTTAAGACTACAAAAGTTTGTAGTGTCTGCTTTTTAAGACTACAAAAGTTGGTAGTGTCCGCTTTTTAGGACTACAAAAGTTGGTAGTGTGCTTTTCAAGACTATAAAAGTTTGTAGTGTGCTTTTCTGACATTTAGTTTGGAGTGTCCTTGACTATGTAATGGTTCATGGGGACATCATGGGCACATGGTTGAAGGACTGAGTTCAGTTGACTTTTTGCCATTGTTGCATGTACACATTTGCTGTCATGTCATGTCTATGACATTAGTGGAGACTGTAATTTCTCTTCAGATAGGAAGTGGCTATCCTATCTTTTACCTTCAGACTTTGAGCCACTGCCTTACATCTGCCTAGGTTCAATAAGTGTCATTAGTGTTTTTTCAGTCTTCCCAAATCATGAGCTAGTATGACTGTTCAGTCATTCACCCTAGCCAGTCTTGCCTGCAAATTGTCTTGACAGTACCACCAGTGAATGATCAAAGGCTCTCTATGATATTCATTCAGGATTCAGATACAACACAATCTACCATTTGGTGAATACACTTCAAAGAACAACATGTGAAGAGAACAGTAGCCACTGATGTGAAAAGACAGTACATGATAGCAAATGTGTACATGCAACAATGGAAAAAAGTCAACTGAACTCAGTCCTTCAACCATGTGCCCATGGTCCTTTACATAGTCAAGAACACTTCAAACAAACTCAATGTCAGAAAAGCAGACTACAAACTTTTGTAGTCTCAAAAAGCAGACATTACAAACTTTTGTAGTGAAAAAAGCGGACACTACACACTTTTGTAGTCTCAAAAAGTGGACATTACAAACTTTTGTAGTCTCAAAAACCAGACATTACAAACTTTTGTAGTGAAAAAAGCGGACACTACACACTTTTGTAGTGAAAAAGGCAGACATCAGTAAATTTTGTAGTCTATGTCTGACTTCTGTAGTCTTTTGTAATGTTTTCTAGTCCATTAGTACATTTTGTAGTCAGTCAGAGTCAATTTCCCATTTGGGGTATATGCCTTCCTTTTGGGGTCAATTTAGCTACAAAGCAGGGCTACAACTTTGGATTTTTGACCATTTTAGGAAATTGGTCATGTGACCACTACACCAGAGACCCATTGCATGGACCCCTAGTTGTATTGTCATTCTTATCTTGATTTCTCCACTTTTTGGTCATATCCAATCATATTTCCTCTTTTATATATATAATGTAGACCCTGAAAGCAGTACCTGACATCCTATACACCATTCCTATTTTTAGCTCTCATTTCCTGGCTATTTTTAGAACAGTGAAATACCCAGAGCTACATTTGAAAAATCACAATGAAATATCCAGGGTTACATTTGAAAAATCACAATAAAATATCCAAGGATAGATTTGAAAAATCACAATGAAATGCCCAAGGATAGATTTGAACAAAAGCAATGAAATGCCCAGGGATACATTTAAAAAACTGCAATGAAATGCCCAAGGATAGATTTGAAAAATAGCAATGAAATGCTCAGGGATACATTTGAAAAATAGCAGTGAAATATCCAGGAATATATTTGAAAAATCGCAATGAAATATCAAGGGATACATTTAGAAAATCACAATGAAATGCCCAGGGATACATTTGCAAAATCATAATGAAATGCCCAGGAATACATTTGAAAAATCACAATGAAATATTCTAAGGTATCAATGAAAAATTCCAATGAAAGGTACAAGGTATCTATTGAAAACCCACCATTGAGATGGCTTGACAGACTTATGAAATGCCCATAGAGAATTTCTCATATTTTATCAGAAATCCCAGGCAATTTAATGATTGAAAGGCTTAGGCTCATGTATTGAAATACCTTTCATAAAAATCTCAGTGTTATAGATTGTTGTCTGTAGGCTTAAGTCTAGGTTATATGATAAAAAGTGGTAGCCACTAGTGATTCTGCCAGATTTCTGGATTGTTCAACATGCAATAAATTTATTTTGTATTGCATGGAAGATTCCTCTGAAGTGAAATCACGCAAAAGATTCTTGAGATTAACATCATCATGATCACATCCTTCAACTGTATATCCATTGGGTTTCAGTCGAGCAGGATAATATTGTGGAGCACCCCTAATTTAATTGGAAGATTAAACCAGCAAAGTAAAAACATTCTGTCCTAACTAACCTCTTGTGACGACCTTTTATTGGACAGTGAAGGCGACAGTGTACTTTTCCCTGGTGCCTGACAAAGCCATTTAGGCATGCCATTCCTGGTCTGTCTGCAGTTGCTAGTCCTAAGAAGGGGTAGGAGGTAAATACTTCATTGCAAGAAGAGTGATGTCGATGGAGATGCTGAACTATCTTGTATCAGGGAAACTGTTCAACAATGGAGGGTAGATGCTGCTCAGCAAGGCAAACCTCTTCGCTTGCCCGTAATGCCATTTCTACTATGCAACATTTGGACGGGTGCTCTTCTCTTTTTCTCTCTCTTGATCCCAAATTTGCAGTCCTTCCTTTTGAAGTGCCGAAAGATGGTAAAGGCCAGGGAACATGAAGCTATCCAAGTTCTTTGACTTATCTGGTCCTGGAATAAATCCACCAGGCAGAACATGTCGCTTCTTGTAACGAAAATTTGGGGAGTGGTCAAGGATAATCCAGATATATATCCAGCACTCGGATGCTTTGTTCCAATATAATTGTGCTCCATCCATAGACAAGAGAAGGACCATATCACCCTGAGCAATCTTCCCATCAATGTGAAGTTGAAGGTAATCCACTCTGTCAAAGAAATCACGATAAGGCGATATTCTTTCACCTCCATTTGCTTCCAGCTCATGCAAAATCTTTGCTGTATATTCTTGGTGATATTTGAGATGTGCTGCGCTTTCTGGAGACCGCCAAAGGGCCTGGAGCTGAGGTGCAAGTGGAATTGTATGAAATTGTTTCCTCAGAATCTCTGCATTTCTGATCTCTTCATATCGTGATTCTCCACATGTGGGGCAAACAATATCCTTGGAAAAGGGTCTGGTAAATCCAACGCAAGAATTGATACACATATTGTGAATTATTGGAGTAATCCCAGTTAAATTTTCCACAAGTCGCTTGGCCTTGTAGAAGGATAATATTTCCTCATCTGGAAATCGATGTTTGATTGTGTCTCATGCAGAATTATAGGTTTCCTGAGAAGCGTTCTCCACAGCAAGAAATAAATCAAGGGATAGGTGATCTGTTGGATTGTCGATAGATAAGGGAGTAATTGGTGGTTCTTGTATCAGAGTGAGAATATCCTCATCTAGATGAGAGAATTCGTGATCAAAGGAGGCATCCTTCAACGCCGCTATAAATTCGCATGCAGTCTTAATGTCATCAATGACTGGAATAAAGTTTATATGTTCTTCAAAGGGAACTTCTTTGTCCAACCCATCTGTTGGTAGCGGATTTGGAGGGTTTGGATTAACCTGAGTCTCGGGATCTTGCCTGTCTTTGTTTTCCATTGGGCCAATGCCCAAATGTTCAGGAGGATCAAACTAGAAAGAACAGATGTTGGGAAGAGAACTTATAACTTCAAATGGGCAATGAATTCACCATTTCATCATCAGATTGAGGATTTTGACAACCCTCTTCTCTTCCATCAGCAAGGCCAATGTCATGCTCCAGTCGAGGACCCAGAGACCCATGCTAGAAAGGAGGAATATTGAAAAACTTGCAGTTTATTCAAAAATGAAATTACCATTTCATGATCATCCAAATCCTCTCGTGTTGCCAACTCACCTTTGATCAAGCCAGGCTTGGCCAAGTCCACCTCTATGTCCTGCAATTGACTCGAAGATTGGCCGCCATGTCCTTGAGTCTGTCGGGTTTGTGGGATTGTTTTTTGATGACGCATATATGCTGAGTATGGCACCATCTTTCCCTCACCCAGGTCCCCACCACATCGACGGCATTTACATAGACAAGGCAGTTGTTGTCAAGTTGGATTTTTGGGGTTGTTACTCATCACAAGCTTTAGGAGAAGTATCTGGTAGTGGGTTGCAAGTATATGTTTCGCCTCTTGCACAGGCTTTATGTAGCTACAAACCAAAGTACTATAGTAATCCGCATGCATACAAACCCTGTACTCATAAAGCATTTACTGATATAATGTGGACTCCGACTTGTAAGTGTACGGAACCCTGTACTCATAAACCATTTATCGATATACTGTGGACTTGGACTCGGACTTGACTCAGATCAGACTTGTAAGTATACGGAGGTTTTCCATTGGGCAGTCCTTTGATTCCAGAATGTCTGATGTGGTTTACGCAGCTGCAATAGGTCTTAATGATAAGATTGTTTCTGTGGTGTCAGGGACTTGACAGATTTTGATGGGTTATTTTTGAACTACCGATTTGGGAGCATCTCAACACATTTCCCATTCTCACCCAATTCCAGCATCTTCTGACAGACAGGCTTTTCACTGGGCATGCACACCAGAACTGGAATAAAGCATGTGTACCAGAACTGTGATTAAACATGTGTATGGGGGGTCCAGGGGGCTTGCCCCTGGCAAGCTGTGACCAAGCACCAGAGGCATGGCTGAGCATTAGCGAGTGCCGCGCCATAGGTGCAGGTCTAAAGCTTGTATCTATTGAAAGCACAAAGCATTAGTTATGAAAAGCGCAATGAAATATCCTGAATTATTAATGAAAAATCCATTGAAAGTGCACTGAGTAATTAATGAAAAGCGTAATGAAATATCCTGAATTATTAATGAAAAATCCATTGAAAGTGCACTGAGTAATTAATGAAAATTGCAATGAGAGGGCCTAACATTCCTAATGAAATATCTATTGAAAGTGTAGAGCATTAGTTATGAAAAGCACAATGAAATAGCCTGAAATACTAATGAAAAATCTATTGAAAGCACACTGAAACAGGAATGAAATAGTTATTGAAAGCCACCAAGACACCCAATGAAATATCCAGAGCGATATCTCATAAAGAGCATGGACTTATACACACAGCTCCTATGGCAACTGCCTGAGTTATATGATAAAAGTGGCAGCCACCAGTCACCACTTCGCCACACTCTTCATGTATGCTGGATCAAAATGCTTCAACTAGACATCAGTCAGTCAAGGGGGGGTTGGAAGGTGACTTGTTGTCATTGTCATCTACAGCTATGTCCAAACCTGGACAGTGAGACAACTCAACACTGTTCTCTCTGTTACAAGGTATGAACTCTCTTACTACTTAAACTCAATGCTGTTCTCACTGCACCAGATATTATAAATACATGTGTTTAACAATAGCTGTTTGAAATTCTCAAAACATGTAATGAGCAATGTTGCTTGAAAAGTTTGAGTAGGCCCATGTTGGAAATATGTACAAAGATACACTTGGAATAGAGTGAGTCAGATCTATTGTACATCCTACTGAAAATCCAAATAAGAATCTATAATATGACAATTTTTGGAATATATCGATACCTTTCTCTTCAATATGTTGCAAATTTTATTTGCAATTTTGGAAAGACGGTGAGCTAATATTATGAATATGAAATTTAACTAGACTCTATTGTAAACAAGACTCACACTGTTTCTTTGATTCAATCCTTGACATATTTGTATTGGCTTGGGATCTAATCTCTGCAAGAAATGCCACTGCTTTGACTGTTTCTGGATGTTCTTCTCCAAATATCTTCTTTCTTGCATCTACAACTTGGAACTCCAGCCTGGCTGAATCTTGGTATTTTTGTTGATGGTAAAATGTTATGGCAAGATTTTCCATTCCATTGATTGTATCAGAGTGATCTTGTCCAAGAAGTCTGTTTCTCATATCTAGAACTTTGATTTCAAGCTTCTCTGCATCTGCATATTTTCCTAGACTCCTATATGTATTTGCAAGATTACCCATGGCCCAGATTGTATCTGGGTGCTCTTCTCCAAGAAGTCTGTTTCTCATATCTAGAACTTTGATTTGAAGCTTCTCTGCATCTGCATATTTCTCTAGACTCCTATATGTATTTGCAAGATTATTCATAGCTGAGATTGTATCTGGGTGCTCTTCTCCAAGAAGTCTGTTTCTCATATCTAGAACTTTGATTTCAAACTTCTCTGCATCTGCATATTTTCCTAGACTCCTATATGTATCTGCAAGATTACCCATGGCCCAGATTGTATCTGGGTGCTCTTCTCCAAGAAGTCTGTTTCTCATATCTAGAACTTTGATTTGAAGCTTCTCTGCATCTGCATATTTTCCTAGACTCCTATATGTATCTGCAAGATTACCCATGGCCCAGATTGTATCTGGGTGCTCTTCTCCAAGAAGTCTGTTTCTCCACTTCAGTCACCCACTGCCAACTGACTATTAGTCATGCAAACTCCACGTAAGTTACATGACTAAATGTCATGGACCATATCTATATTCTAGATATATATGGGTCCTAGAAAGCCCTGAAATCTAAAATATATTCTTGACACATGGACCCTGAAATGTCACACAAAAATTATAATGTCTGTGTCACACCACCAAAATATATTTTGCAAGTGAAATGCAGTAAGGATATATTTTTGGTCAGTGGACCCTGAAATGTCACTGTCACACCTTAGAAATATATTTTGCCCTGGCTTGGCCTTAGGATATATTTTGTGAAACAGATGTGGTAAGGATATATTTTTCTGGTCTGTAGGGGTGTCAGGGGTCCTAGTTTCAGCAAAAAACTTGTGATTTGTTTGCTGTCTAGGGTATATACTCTGGAAGATTCTGCAATGATTTCCAGGGGTTTTGGCACTATGTCTGGCTTGGTTCCCAGTATGTAGGAGCAATAAGAG